TGCCTTGCCCACAGTCAGGACAAATCTTTGTCACCCGCCAGTCCCACAGCCGCTCAGACCCAACCAAGTAAACACAGAGACTTATATTGCTTACAAATTGTATGGCCGTGGCAGGCTTCTTGCTAACTGTTCTTATATCTTAAATTAACTCATTTCTATAAACCTATACCTTGCCACATGGCTGGTGGCTTACCGGCATCTTTACATGCTGCTTCTCCTGGCGGTGGCTGCAGTGTCTCTCCCCTTGATTAATGATTGATACATGAGGGGCCAACACACCTTCGGTGGTGCCATCCCAGTCAGGTGGTCCGGAGTTGTTTAAGAAAGTAGGATTAGCAAGACATGAGGAGCCGCCCAGGAAGTAATGCTCCTCCATGGCCTGTGCATCAGATCCTGCCTTCAGGTTCATACCCTGACTTCCTTTGATGATTGACTGTAAATTGTAAGATGAAATAAATGCTTTCTTCCCCAAGTTGCTTTTGGTCATGGTATTTTATCACAGCATTAGAAAGCAAACTTGGGCATGGGGTTAGAATAATAAATTATATATTTTATTTAATATTAATTTAAATTTAAATGACCATTTGTGGTTAGGAGTTACTGAATTAGTGAGTTTATATTAAGAACAAAGAGAAGAAACAAGGTATGTACTCACTCATAAGTAGATACTAGATGTAAAGCAAAGGATAACCAGACTGCAACTCACAACTCCAGGGAGGCTAGCTAGCAAAGAGGAACCTAAGAAAGACACAGGGATCGCCCAATGACAGAGAAATGGATGAGATCCACATGAGCAAACCCTGGGGGTGAGGGGGGGGTAGTGGAGGGCAAGGGTCAGGGGAATGCGAGCTTAGGGAAGCGGGAGGTCCCAGCTGGATCAGGAACAGAATGGGAGAACAAGGAAAGAGATACCATGATAAATGAAGACCCCATGGGAATAGGAAGAAGCAGAGTGCTAGAGAGGTTCCCAGAAATGCTGTGGGATGTTCTGTATGTCCTGTGGGAGCCCTTCTTGGGTTCTTTGTGGCGTTACCCAGCAGGTCCGCATAGAGGATGATTAGGACCATGGGCCTGAGTGCAGGTGTCTGAGATGGTCTGCACTTGGCTGTGCTGGGGGATGGTCTGTATGTCAAGTTGTTCTGATTGATCAATAAATAA